ATCGGCGCCACCGGACCCTCTGACCACCATCAGTAGGCAAGGTGGGTGAAGTGTCTTGCCCAAGGACACAACGACGGCTGGACAGGGGATCGAGCCAGTGACCTTCTGGTTCCAGGACGACTCCCCTAACCACTCCGCCACAGCCGCCCCATATTATTAAGAATATAGTTAAAGATCTGTGAATAAATCAGGTAAATTGTACTTAATTTGATAAACTATATGTTACAATATTTAATGGAGCAAATTAAGAAAAATTTACCTGATTTATTCACAAATCTTAAACTATATTCTTAATAACTTTTACTAGATACTGATGAGTAAATATTACATGAATTTGTAGCATTTAAATTTACATAACAAACATTGGTGCAAATTGTTACGAGGATTTTTTAAGTAAATCTTACAAGTTTTTTTTTCAGTGTGTGTGTTTTTGGTTTTCTTACAGTTGTACATCAAGCAGAACACGTTTGTCCTCGCCAACATGGATTCTCCAGCTGCAGTCCTCTCCCTCTCCATACCACTCAGGCCAGTTTGGAGACAGAATCACTCCACCTGGACCAGTCAGGTCACCCCCACATTGGGCTACAAAGGCAGAGGAGGAGTTCAGATTAAAGTAAGTAGTTCTATCTATGGGGCACACCCTCCATTGGGAGGGCTAGGGAAGCTTTGAAGTTTGAGGTTGTGACATGATGAAACATGGAAAAGTTGAGAGTTTAAATAACCATTCATTGAAAATGTGTTAAATAAATCTTGAATGTTAAACTAAATAAACCGTAATCTGATTTAGAAGAAAGCATAAAAATATTCTGCATGAAAGGTGATTTAATTCCATTTTACCTTTGCAGAGTGGCTCAGTGTCATTCCAGTATGGATCCCTGGCACTTATGCACTCGATCACAGGTGGCCCTTGTTCTAAAGAGTGGCCTGGGTCACATGTGAACTGAACCACAGCTCCAACACTGTACAGCTGGTCTGACGTCGTAAAGTTTCCATTTTGAAGGTACGGCTCATAGCAGTGGCCACGCTCAAACGCTGAAAAGGGAAAAAATAATCTGTTTGTTCAAAGCACATTTAAGAAAAAACGTTTCATATTTATAGCTTCTCTGAGAAGATTTGTCGTCTCTGTGACACACGAGTGTAATTTCCATAATCTCTGCCTTGAAAATTTGGAACCATATTCTGCAAAATTCCTGGAAGGATGACTCTTTGCTTAGTTTGTCTTTTTATCTTCACCGATGGGATTACCATAAAGAGGAGAACGTTTTAATCCCTTGGCAACATCACATTGCTTGAAAACTAGAAACTTTAGTTTTCATCATGTTGATAGGCAGCTTTGTGTCCTGGCAGCCCAGCAGAAATCCACTTGGCAGAGCATCCCTTCAAAATAAAACTCAGCGTAGGTGCAGTGTGTGTGTCATTGTGCAATAATAAGTTGTTGCTTAAGCTGTGCCATTTAACACCTACCTTCGTATGTGTGTGTGGGGGGGGGGGGGGTTTTTGGTGACATTTGGGGGCAATTTTAAAACAAAATGCCTACTTTTGGGGACAACTGGTGCATTTGGGGACAAAATTCGAGTCCCCGTTTGGTTTAAATGCCATTGGTGGGTTGGGGGTTGGGTTTGAGACCAAGGTGTGAATTGAGTTTAGTTTAGTTTTAGGGTCAGGTAGGTACCTGTGAGGTTAGCCTTAGGGTTTGTGGCCAGGGTAGGCTGTAGAAATGTAATGGAAGTCAATGGAATCAGATAGCTGTGCAAACTGGCAGTAAAAGCAGAGGGTTGCATTCCTTCGAGGACTGCCAGGCCTTTATTGTGTGTTTGTTTTAATCTGCACTCTACCTTCATAGCGGATGTTGAAGCCCATGTTGTGGTTGGGCTGATCAGTGATGAACTGGATCCTCACAGCTGGACCTTCACTTATCACCCCTTCGAATGGTATCTGTCCCCCTCGACCTGAGTCGAACAGAACCACGGAGCCAGCATCCAGACCACTCCACAGCACCAGCCTGCAGGGATGCAAACATGTCCAAAAAAACATCTACTGAGGAAGACTGGGCACCACTGAGAGCTATATAATATTAAAGTGGATTCAGAGTTAAGTACTGTATTTATTTGAATCTTTCTTCCAGATAAGAATCTTTTAAGCTCCAGATCAGATGTGAGTCCACCTGTTCCACAGACACATAAAAACGTGTCTCACCTGTCTGTTGGACCTAAAGCCAGTCTCTCCAGGTGTAGGTGTAGTCTTTGGTCTTTGGGCGCTTCCAGGGACCAGGAGCAGGATCGGTCAAGGGTGGCGTTAGGCCCATGGTGGGGAGAAGGGGACAACACCCTCCCTACAGTTGCATTCTTCACTGTTCCTCCACAAAGAGCTGCACAGAGAGAAGCTGGAAGTTGATTTGTGGGATCTTGAATCCACATTTTACTTTAGGAAGAAACGGAGGAGTAATATCCTAACGAACTTCCTCAATACTCATCTCGTAATACACAGATCCAACATCTAACATGACAGAAAGAGTAAAACTTTCATGGTCCAAAACTTCCAAACACATGGCCAGGAATCCCTCAGAGACAAACCTTTTATGCACAACCTCAACTAGACCAAGAGACAAAGATGGATAATTGGGTACCATTCACCCTAGAGCAGGGGTGTCCAAACATTTTCCCCAAGAGGGCCAAAATGAAAATCTATCCAGGGCTGTGGGCCAAATGCAGTAATATAATACATGAAATACAAATACTTTTTTAAAGTAAAGTCCTTTATTTTTAACAATTAAGCTATGCAATGGCCCTCTTTTGTTTTAGTCTGTGCACTTGGTTGAAGTCTGGCATACTCTCAAGTAGCAAAGGCTCATGGGACATTTCATAAATTGATAAAATATGAGTTTTGTGGCCTTATAAAGTGTGCAAATCTACACGTGGGGTTAAATCCAATCTAAATATTTCTTGTTGTCATTTCATGTTTCATGTTTAATCCTAATAAATCAAAGATATGTCAGCACCATGAATGAAAATTACCTTCACTACAGCCCTTTTATATAGTCATCTGACCAATGGAAACACTGTGTTTCTACATAGGATAACAGGTTACAACCTTGTAACTTTGGCAACTGTTGGTGGGCCAAATCAAATGGCTTGGTGGGCCAAATTTGGCCCGTGGGCCCCACTTTGGGCTCCTCTGCCCTAGAGGCCTCAATGAGAAAGATCCTAACACTCCTTAAACAGACGTTCATATAGATCTAGAATCCAAAATAGGAACCTATCTATATATATGTATATACATTCAAGAGCATCCTAAAATGGGACCCCTTCTTGAATGCTCACCCCCTCTGTCCATTCACTTATTTTCAGAACCCTCCCCACTCCCTACAAAGCACACGACAAACACTCAATGTAGTAACTGGGTTCTGCTCAAACAGTACGCACATACCCACTGGAATTTGCCAGCTATATTCCATTACATCTTACAGCACACACAAATCAAAAGGCTGTCTCCAATGGTCTCTTGGTACAGCCGACTCCATCATGCACTTTACATAAAGATAAGACCCAGTGACCCAGGACTGGACCTGATCTCGAGTGAGCGTGCACTTCCTAAGGGATTTACCACCTCTGCAGAGCCATCAGGCAGCAGGTGGAACCCTCTGAGCGAATGTGGACCAGGTAAACGTCCACACAATGACAAACTGTCCTCATAAGCAAAGTGAAATGTCAAAATATGTACACACAAACACACACACACACACCTCTACAGGTGGGCTCCTTCCCGCTCCAAATTGGCAGGGAGGCATTGAGACAGGTGAGCTCCGTCTCCCCCTGCAGGTGGTAACCCATGTGGCAGTGAAAGCGGGCAACACCTCCAGGGAGCAGGTCCAACACCGACACCTCACCAAAATGAGGCCTCCTCGGCAGGGAGCAACTCAGCCTGAAAGCTGTACAGAAAATATTAATATATTGCAAATTAAAATGTGTACTGTTGAATAAAAAGAAGCAGGTTCAACAGAAAGTATCTGACCGTCATTAAGTTCAGAACCAAATTACATTTATTGCTTCTGCCTGTATGTTGATAAACTGTACTTACTAAGTTCAAGAAGAAAACTTTTGCTCAAATTTATTCACTTGTAAATCCTACACTTTTATTATCACCACCATTACAGGCAAAAAGCAATGATGTATGGGGTGCCGTTTGTAAAGTTACACAGTCAAAAATTACCACCAATATTTTTGTTTTATTTAGACTTTTATAAGAAAAAAAGAACAGATTTATTTTTCAAAGTCAGTTTCTCACCATATGATTCAAACATTTATAAATGT